GGGGTGGGAGGGATAGCAAACACCACTCTTTAGTCTTCTACCTGTACTTAAGATTTCTGTCAATGGTACACTAGTTAAAAGCAAAGGGACAATCCCATTTGTACATCAAATTGTAAATTTTAATGTTTGCATTAGAATCGTCTTTAGATCACTCTTCAACAAGAAACAGTAATGTAACTAACAGCAAACTTCAAATACAGGAACACTCTCCAGATTAACAACTCAAAATAAAACAAAAAATTAATGTAAAATGTAAATCACATATAATACAATTGAAGTGTCCAAAACAATTTAAATAATTTTAAATATTTTATTTTTTAAACTGCTACAAATGCTTTATACAATATTTCAACATGAAGTCCCCATAACAGAAATGTAACAAAATGGGAATGATAGTGAAAGAGTTAAAGTGGCACAAATTCACCAAACAAGTATTAAACTACAAATTTTAAGAGGTAGATTACTTTTAAAAGTCAAAAACAAATAGGGTATGTGAATGAAACTAGCCATTTCCTCCAACTCAGTCATTGACCCTTTTTGAAAAGGGCATAGAAATGCATGGTAAAATATTTCCCAACAGTAATATCATACTTAAGGAGACCAATTTGTTACTTTTAATCTCAATAAGAGAGTGAAGTGTAAGACCTGGTACAGTAAACTCATTTAATATTTATGTGTAGAGGCATACATTTATACAGACCTGCTTTCTTTTATCCTGTGCATTAATAAAATGCTACACAGCATCCAATAATATTATAGTTATAAATTAGTGCCAGGTAATAATCTGTAGAGGATAGTTTCCATTTGGATACATAAACAGGAACTTAGGAAATGCATAAAAGAGTCCAAATCCAACCTGGTTTCCTCAAAATTATGCTGGCAATCCACACTTGATAAGAAAAAAAGAAAGGAAGAAAGAAAAGAAATGGGGTAGGGAGAATCCTGACAATTTAAATTCCTTTCCTTCTACTAATTCATTTAAAAGAAGGCATCAAGACAATGTGACCAAAATACTTTAAAATGAGTGCATAAGAATTTGTCATCCCTGAATCTACAAGAAGCTATTGATAAAACAGGGAACTTGCTTTGCAAGAATAAATTCAAATTGTCTTTCTCTATGCCATTCATCATAAGCAGGGCAACACTAAAATCTGAGTTATCAGTCCAGTGATGACAGATTTGGTTCACCTCAGCCCATTTTTACAGTACCCCTCTCTTTGCATCTGAATCATCCTGTAGCCCAGCATGCATCACGTGCCACGGAAGAAACTTATGCCTGACACTAACAACATTAGCACAAAGCCTGCAGGCAATCACGGTTGGATTTAAGATTTTTTGAGTCAGCTTCAAACGGTCTTGAAAGCTTGGTGGATTTCACATCCATTGTCGTAGTGCTTATCCTAAGTTGAGCATGCAATAGCTTTACTTTGTCAATTAAGATTTGTTTTGTTTTGTTTTTACAGGAGGTTCCTAGAAAATAAGAAAACTGAAGATAAATGACAAAATAATATAACCTGTTTATGAACTGAACATGCTTAAAAAGAAAAAGGTGAGCAGACTGTAAGACAAACAGTATTAAGACAGTGATGTAAATGAGCCTGAAGGAATATTTAGGAATTAAAACTTCTGAACATAAGACAAACTAAAAGAAGTCAGGAAAGAACTGCTTGTTATATCAGCAAACTTTCATGGAGAAATCTATTTTTCTTCGCATCAAGTTAACATTAATTGGAAACCTAACGTTTAAATTCTCAAGTACATCTATTAGTTAAGCAACCAACAGGATTTCTTATGCAAGACTATGCATAAAAGAACATGAAAGTTATTCTAAACGATGCCCAGACCTATTTATTTCACAAAGACTTTATAATCTTTACTGAAATGAAGATGGAAGGAGGAGATGGAAAATGTACTTCTTTCTCTATGAGCCTTCATTTGGCTATCCTGGATGTATTAGAAATTAATCCTGGACGGCAGACCCAACTACTTAGTATGCCAAAGAAAGGCCCTAACACCTAGCTATGGAAATGGCATTAAAACAAAGAGTTCATTATATTAAGCAAGAAGTGTGATAGGTAAAGGGGAAACCAAAGATTGGTGATACATAGTTTCCTTTGCTCCTTTGTGCTATGAAATTTCCTTAGCCCATTTTTTTCCCTCACACTTTGATTGGTCTATTGGTTTGTGTGCTAGATGACAATGTTAAGTAACAAGCAGATTCTGCTGAGTCACTCACTTAGCATGCTGAATGGAAAAGTATGTATGACTAATTAAAATGGTCAGCTTCAAACAAGAAGGTTGAAAAAATGGGGGGATATCACTATAAAATGGGCCTTAAAGTGAAAAGCAAGTGTAAGAACAACGCAAAATCTCTTGTCAATATATCTTTTTAAAAAAAAAAAAAAAAGGAAAGGTATATGCTGTTTTGTGATGTTGTCTGGAGTATGAACCTCAGATAAGCAAAATGAATATTACTGAAAAATTATGATAAAGATGACTTTATATGCCATGCAATGGCTGCCTTTCATCAATTCAAAGTTTTCATTAGAAAGAATTCTGGAAGCTGAAAAGTATTTGAAAGTAAAGAGAATTTTTATTTGTTTCTAAAAGAGAAAATTCTTTTAGTTTCCAATTCAATTAAAACAATTATTTATCTGGGCTATAGAATCAAAAGCAGCTGCCATACTTTAAGAAACTGACTCAGGAAACCAATATTTGGAATTGCCATGCAGCAGACAGTGACCTTTGCCCAAGAAGCACTCTCTCTTTCTTGCACACTTTTAATAATCAAGTCTCCATTTCCTTGTAAACATTTTGCTTTTCTGAGAACACTTCACAACATTTATGGGTAGCTACATGGTAAGCCCCCAATACTGAAAGGGAGACTGTTTAGGAGTCACTCATTTTGCAGTCAGGTGACACAATTATATACATGATCCAGGAAGAGAAAATGCTAAGTGGAAAACTATATCCAGTATTTTAATTTCATTATCTAAATTTTTACATCTTTCTGCATGCCAAATTTTAATCCAACAATATAATATTCCCTCAATTAATTACTGAGAATAAAGAAAAGTTCCACTAAACCACAGTAAAGGAAGTAATGCTGTGTTCTGATAGATCCTTTTGGACTATTCAATAAATATCCTATGAGATTATTCAAAATAAGTTTTTAACATAACTTCCAATGAAGGCTGTACTTTAATACCATGTGTTACCATGTGTTATTCAAACAATTATTTCTGCTTTTTATAATTCACTTTTTCAGATCAACTTTCTATTGAAAATTGCATAAATAGGGAATTTCAGCACAAAAGCAGCAATTCCCTTCAGAAAATATTCAAATAAGGGGCCCTCCCCAAAGAACTATATGAGGCACATACTGGAGGTATTTTAAAGAATTAATTACATGGGAGTGCTTGAACTCTTAACAAATTCATGAGCCTATTCCCGTTCCCAACCATGAATACATTCAGAAGAAAATATACAACAGAATCTGTGCCCAACAAACCTAAGAAAGAGGTGGCTTCACCTCAAAATGTGGGTCATTGACCTTGACAAAGATGCATCCTTTATGTGCCCTTTTGTAGTTACCAGTTTTGATTACTGATAAAATGTGTAATTTCTGTGAATTTATAAGATTATATGTACATACATATATGTGCATGTGTTTTTATATTTATATAATACATATTATGTAGGTCATGGTTCAAGAACAAATGTAAGTTTAATATTTACAATGAAGAAACAGCACATTCATAAATGGAATTTTTAACTGTTGAAGTTAATTATTTAAATGATATCTCTCCTAATGGCTCTTCCTCTGCTGTTAGCCATGGTATAGCATAAACCCTACCAAGGCACAAATACTTTGTTTGAACAAACATACAATGATACATAATGGAACTTTTTTTATATTCCAAAACTGACTATGTCATTCAATTACAATCCCTAACTCACTTACTACTCCAAGGTAATTTTCTTCCGAAACAGAGTAAGAACAAATAAGCAGTTAGAATGAAATTCTGGAACCCACAGGTTAGGCAGCACCATTTCAAAAGGCAAGACTTAAAAGCACTTTGCAAAAGTTTGGGCATTACATCTGATACTAAGTGTATGATGAATAATCTCTCCTGGGATTGCTTTGTACACAGGAATCTCAAGAATGTATTTGTCAACTCCATATTTTTTCCCCCTAGTTGATTAAGAACATCATAAAGCTGGGGAATCTAATGTGGGAAAATTAAGTACCACAATCATTTTGGCTTTCATCAAAACTCTTTACTATAGAACATAAAACTATGGTACTAAAATAAATTCAAACATTCCAATTTTAGAGACAGGAAAACAAGGATCCTGATTCATTAAGGTGACTTGTCTATTGTTTAATGTAAAAAAAAAAAAGTTTGAAAAGTTCTCAGGGCTCCTGTGTTGCTGACCCATTTCAAGATCTCATAGTCTATCTTATCCTCATCTTGCCTCCCTGCCCAAAAAGGGGCATTACTTATCACTCTCGTTACAGAAATGCAAGGGAAATTGTGCGCAGCATATTCAAAGGAAAATGTTGATATTTTACCAATATGGTAAACATTTCAAGTGATGAACAATAAGAATACCCCCATGAATGGCAGCAGGGAAACAAATTACTGTCACCAAAAGAAGCAGCCAGCATGCTCAACATTGTCAGGAAATCTTGTACAAGGAGAAACAACTCTAAGTCACAAATTATGAAGGACATTTTCACTCAGTTTCATGTCTTCTTTTAGTACACTGACAGTATTTTTCCTGATTTCCAACTCTACTTACAACCAGCTGCTTTCAGTAAATGATGCTATTTCACAATTCCTCAAGGATGAAATAAAAACTTGGTCATTCAAACACCCAAAGCACCAATATTCTCCTTCAAGTTTCGCAATAATTATTGTAAGTGCTCAAGTTATACAATTTAAAGATATTGACAGAAATGGGGGCTTTTCCTCCACTACAAGAGAATGGCTTACCTGAAATCCTTGAGCTCCTGCTTTGTACTGCCTTCTTCCTTTTTGCTTTCAGTGAGGTCTACAGAGGCTGCCAGCTGCAAGCTTCGAGTAATGGGCCCTCCACTCCTTTCTCTACATTTGACACTGAACCTATCTGATTTCTTCTTGCTCGCTAAAGCAGGCTTGCTTTGTAGAACAGCTTTGTTTTTCTGGACCCTCACATGCAGGCTCCGGGATGCTTTGCTGGAGAGATGAACAGAATGGTTCTTGGCTACTGCTTTTGATTTCTTCCCCTCCACGTGAGACATTTTGGCCATTCTTACAGGACTGGAGTTCCTCAGAGAAGAAGAGCCTGATTTTTTGGACTTCACTGAAGGTACAAATTTCACCTTCTGTTTTGCTCTAAAGGATGGCGAGGGCGATGGATTTGTGGTGGGCCCTGAACTCCGAGCTCTTGTCTTGCCCAAGTGGGTCTGCATGCTCTGCATTTTAATCTCAGCATCAGCTGTCCGTCTTCGTTGGTTGCCACTTTTCTCACTGCTTGCAGGTGATGAGATTCCACTTTTCTTAGATGAATGAGAAGCACTTCTCTTGGTGGAAGGAGAAACTGGCTTTTTAGGACAGCTGTAAGCTGCATGTTTATTCAAGCTTCCAATATAAGTGAACTCACGATCACAGTAAGGGCAAATGTGTGAGTGAGAATCCGAATCATTATTTCTTAAGTCTGCTTTTTGCTTGGCAGATTTATTTTTTTGCAGGATTGCTTTATGGACTAACTGATTTTTCTTCTTCAGTGCACTTAGTTTAAGCTTGTTAGAGGACATTTTGCTGAGTTCAACACTAAAATTTAGTCTTTTGGGTTGCCCCATACGTCTAAAGGCATTTTTCCCAGAGTTATCTATGACCAACACACCATTTTTGGGTTGTACAGTCTGTTTCAGTGGTACTGGATTTTTCTTAGGGGTGTACCTCTTTTTGTCGCTAGCTGAAGCACATGCCAAGATATGTTTGTGTAATTCAGGCATGTTGTCAACACCTTTCCCACATTTGGTGCAGCGGATAGCAGTAGTAAAAGTCTGTGGGATATTGTGAGTGGTAAAATTTGTGGCTGTAACCCCTATGCCCATAGGGTTCCGGTGATGATACTGAAACGGGGGTGGTTTAAAGCTTGGGTAATGCTGATTGAGGCCCAGTCGAACATCTGGATCTTTTGCCTTCACTCCAGAAGCCATTATTTTTATGGTAGTATAAAGCTCTTCTGAAGAATCATTTACCTCTTCCTCTTCCTCCTCCTCTTTAGAAGCTTCTAAAGGATGTTCTGGTAGACTATGAACATGGTCTGCCTTGGCCTTAGTGGGGTCTGTAAAATTCTGGGGCCTGAGGGTGCCACTTTCAAACTCGTGGTGTGTACATTCCCTATCTGGATGGAGATCTCGTTGGTGCTGCTGTAAATTGCACAAAAAGGCAAATTCTTTTTTACACACCGAACACACAAATATATTCCCAACTCCATGAAGCAAAAAACGATGTTCTGACAAGCCTGTTTTGTCCCTAAACAGTTGCACACAGAATTCACATTTGAAGGGCCATTCTTCGGCATGAACAGTTAAATGTTTGGTTAGATCTTTAATAGAAAGAAAAGGTGATTCACAAACATTACAAATAAAGTTTTTATTGAATGTTTCCTGAACAATATCCTGTTCACCTGATGTCTGTGGATCGTCACTTGGTTTCTGATCCTCATTCTCCGTGTCTTCTTGTTTGAAAGATATAGGGAGAGGTGCTTCCAAGTTATCACCAGATGAAACAACAGATGAAACCACTGAGAGGGGTGGTGGTGATGGGGAAGAGGAAGAAGAGAATGATGAAGAGGAAGAAGAGGAGGAGGAGGAAGAGGAGGAGGAGGGAGAGGAAGAGGAGGAAGAGGATGATGAGGAGGAGGAGGGAGAGGAAGAAGAAAGTATAGGCGGACCAGGTGAAGCCGCAGAGTTTAGAGGCTCAACAGACAGGGCAGGAGATGCGGATGGAGACACTGTCGGTGAAAGAATGGGAAGTGGTGATTGTGTAGTGGTATTAGAAAGTGGTGAGGGACATGAAGGAGGAGAAACACTGGAAGATGGAGCTGGAAGTGGCAAAGGAAGAGTAGGAAGAAGAGGTGGGGGAGGTGTAGCAACAGTTAATACAGGTGGGCAAGGTGGAGGAGAAGATGGATTTGTTGGGATCAGGAGAGGAGGCAGCTGACCAGAGGACACAGAAGTCTGTGGTAGAGGTGATGGAGAAGTGCAAGGAGAGGAATGAGCAATCGGGGCAGATAAACTAGAATCTGGGTCAAGATCAGGTTCTGGCTGGGGATCCAGTGATTTGTAAGGACTTGGGCTCCTATTTTCATCTGGAGCTTTTTCCAAGGCTAAATCTACACCATTATATTCATTGAGAAGAACCTTCTGTAACATGCAGGTTGTTGGCTTCTTCTTTTTTATGCCGCTACAGGTAGGCTGCACTGAGCTGTTCTCTTTATATTCCTTGATATCCATGTCACCACAGGATTTCTTATTCACACTAAGATCTAATACAGATTCCCAAGGGACCTGAGACTTTCCTGTAAGCTCTGACTTCTGCTTTACACCACTGGATAAATCTAAGGGCTGCTGGTTGCACACATTACCAAAAGTGGTGCTAGTCGCCCAGTCTTTTGACATTTTGTAATCATCAAAGCATGAAGGGCTCACAGTGTCTCTCTCTTCCCTCCCAGATAAACTCCAGGCAGGGGAACTGCTGTGGCTTTCTAATTTGGGTATTTTGGAACTAATAGCTGGATCATTCCATGTTGCTTTGCCCTCACTCTGTTTTCCAAAATCTCGAAGAGCTGGACTATGCTGTGGAGAACTAGGAGGAGAGCTGGTTCTTCGCTTAAACCTACTCGATGATACAGGTGAACCTAATTTAGGGATGTCTGTTGCAGATATAACTGCTGTTAACTTGTTACTATCTTGTGTTTGAAGAAGTTGTTTGAGCTTAGAAGACAAAAAGACACTTTTCTCTTTGTGATAAGGAACAGTCTCTGTAGCGGATACATTGAGAGGTAAGTTTAAGGAACAGGATGGTGTGATAGGTTCCGAATCAGTTTCTGCCTTTATTTTAGGTAAAAAAGGTGGACTAGTGGTTCTCCGCTTCTTTGAATCACTATTTGTGTTACCAGAGGAGTCCTTAGGAAAATCCTCTGCTACATGCACTTGAGAAGTCTTTATACTCTGAGTAATTTCCACTGTAACAGGAGTAAGCAAACAATTTAGGCCATACAAGTCTGCAGAATTAGACTCCATTTCAATCACGTCACAATTACTAGTGCTGCTATTAGACTGAATCTTCCCATCGATATAATAATTTAAATTCTCAGAGATATTGCTGGAAATATCCATAATGTAGACATCATCTGATTCTCCTTCTTCTTCTAGCTCTGTGCTTGCTATATATACATTCTGGGTCGGCTGGGTCTGCTCTGCTGGAAGTTGTGGTTCTTCAAGTAAGAATCCTTTTCTCCTCACTCCTTTAGGAATAAGATGACGTTCATGAACCCTACGCTGATGCCTCCGCATGTTTGTATGTGTTCCAAAAACCTTTTTACAGTATTTGCATGGATGCAGTTCCTTGAGGTCTCCATTCTCTTCTGCAACAGAAGAAACTGCAATTTCTTGGGAAACTCTCTCTGAATCCAAAATCATGCAATCTTGCAAAAGACTGGAAGTATTTGATTCGTCTTTAAGATTTATATCATCTCCAAACACTGGGCCATCTACAAGGTCATCAGGCTGTTGTAGTGTTAAGACTGGTTTCCTTTTTGGCCCTGCTTCATGACGCCTCTCATGCCTTCTCCTGTTAATCTGGGTACCAAAAGCTTTTCCACAGTACCTGCATTTGAAAGCATGATTGACAGTAGATATATGGATATGCATGTGACGTTCAAGTCCTTGTTTGGTTGTAAACTTTCTTTCACAATGCTGACAAGGAAACATGAATGTTTCAAATACATCACCATTGGAATCTCCCTTTGTTTTAGGAATTTTCACAACTGGCATCACTTCAAGAGAGCCATCTAGATTTTCTTCAGTTGTATTTCGTGGTTCTTCTGATGTTCCTTGCTTTTCTCCACATTCTATTTCTGGCTCTCTCTCAAAACTTTCGTTTGGTATATTAGCATTCTCTTCACCTTCCTCTTCTTCTTCCTCTTCTTCGTCGTCCTCCTCCTCCTCCTCCAAGTCATCTGATCCACAGTGTACTACTTCAGGTGTCCCTTCTGGCAGTGTTTGAGGCTCAGAGACAGGAGGGGGGATTATTAATTTGGGAAGTGCATCCTGATTTACCATCTCCTGAATAACAGCTGTCTGTTCTACAGAGAGCACTGCTGAAGCTGAAGGCTTCTCTTCTTCCTCTTTAGGCCCTAGAAAAAATAAAGAAAAGTAGAAGTTAGCCATTTCATAAGGCATGAAATAATTTCATATTATTCTAAATATTCTTGCTGCCACTAATATACTTAAAAGTCATGGCCAATAACATATAACTCTGTTCTACTCTATTGTTGCATAACAATTACTTCACACTAATGAATCACTTAAAGTTCACAAAACATTTTCCTCACAACAATCCATTACAAAGAAAACTTAAGCCCAGAGAAGTTAAGTGATTTTTTCCCAGTCATACAGCTATCAGAACCCTCAAGCTCAGAGTTGTTTTCACTACTCTTCAGTGGATATCTATATCAAAGCTTAGTGGATAAAAGGCATATGATAGCAAGCAAAGAAATGTGGGAAGAAATAGACACATAGAAACAGGAGAAACCAGTGCCATGAAAATCAAGAGAAGAAAGACTATCTAGAAAGACAGTCACTGGTGTCAAAAGCTGCAAATAAAAATACTGTGAATAAAGATGATTTGAGGGAAAAGTCATTAAATTTAACAACTGTGAAATCATTAGTGGAAACTGGTGAGAAGTAGGAGGGAGGTTACAAACTGTATATAAAAAGTACAGTTTTTTTTGTTTTTGTTTTGTTTTTTAAGAAGAGAGAAAAAATGAAAGAGCTTAAGGAGATAGTGGGGTCAAGTAATGAATGATTTTTAAAGAGGAAGGACACCAGGGCACATTAGTAGGGCAGTGGAAGAAAATGGCAATAGAAGTAGGGAGAAGGGATAATCAAAGGGACAAGCTCACTCAGAGCACAAATAGGAGTCTGGCCTTGTCAAGAAGGAATACCTCATTTTGAGACTGGAGTAAAGAAGGACAGGATTGGGGGAGGAGGGGAGGGGAGGTAATGTTAAAAAGGGTCTTAAGGTATGAAGTAAGAAAGAAAAAAGCCAAGTTACTAACACATGGCATCAATTTATTCAGTCAAGTAGGAGGAAAGGAGCTCTGTTGGAAAAGAGGCAGGAGGCAGCTAGCAGAGAAAAGTGGTATTTTTCTTCCCTGTATTTCATTTTCTTTTGAGAAGAGTTGGTACAGTTTTTGTGGTCTGGGTAAAATCTTTTGTCCAGTGTTTTCTCAGCAACACTATCATGACCAGAACTTTTGTCCTACCATTTTAGTTAACAGAACATGTAAATAAGCAAGATTCAAAGTATGACAAGAATCGATGTGGTTGTCTGTACCTCCTTGCTGTAAAACAGCTACACACACCCTAAAATACTGGCAGTTCATATTTTATGAATTTTTTTTGTTCTTTGTATTTATGTAATCGCAAGTTGGTTGAAAATTATTTTTGTGATGATGGAATCTACCTTTTTCTCTAAGTACCTCCTAAAACCCTGGTCAGGAACCAGATGGCAGAATTGCCACTGTTGGTCTGTATAGTAAACTATTTTGTTCCAGGAATCTTTTCCTGGGCTTGCTGTGGAAAGGGAATCCCTGGACTCCAAATGGAAAATTCCAGGACTTCAAACAAATATGCCAACAACATGACTCACTGAAGGAAATGTAAACTATATATACATCCATTCAGGCAGCATTTTGTCAAAAGTCCAGGAACAAATATTTCTGATAAGTCTATTTTAAAATATCTATTTCTCCCCAAATGGTTGTTAATAATGGAGGGAAAATGCAAACTGGATAGGCTGCAGAAGAGGTATCAAACACATGACCCAAGGACCGCATGCAGCCCACAAAACTGAGGTCCAAACCAGATTAAAATATAACTGGAAATATTTAACAAAATAAATAAATAAACAAAAAACGCAATGCAATATAGACAATATTACCATTCAAAACTAAGTCAATATGCAGGGTAATGACCCCCAACCCCATTTCTATTTGAGTTTGACACCACTGAGCCATACAGCATGTTACCAACAAGACTTCTGATTAAGAAGAAAATATAACACTAACGACATATACCAACAGAAAGACTGGTAGCCAGTTATGATCTAAAGGTGAATAATGACGGACAGCCCATCTATCACAATATAATATCCATGAAAAATAGAATTAGGATCCAATGAGAAGGTATGGATCATAAATTTAGGACTGGAAGGGTCTATTGATCTCATGTCCCAGATTAGAAAACTAACGTCCCAAAGTCTCACAGGGAATAAGTGGCAGAACCAGGATTCAAATATTGGATGTTTTGTAATCTATACCAAGAAAAGGGTCCTCATGGGGATAAGACAAGAGATCTATGAAATTACTGCATTTGAGTATCCAGAACCAGAACCAAAAGATCAGTATTCGTTACTATAGAAAAATAAGACGCTATAAAATACTGAATAGAAGTCAATTCCATGATCTATTTGGGCCCTCTGTTTTCCATAACAATTAGACCTTTACTGAAGAAACTGGGAAAACTAACGTCTTCCTTGTGTAGAAATGTCATTTTGTTATTAAAATGGAAGAATTGCCACAAAGTAGAAATATTTTAAATCATCTAAAGGAAATCATGATTAGATAATCCAAATATGCATAGATATACAAGTATAGTCACATATAGACAGACTTCTCATAATTTTTCAATGTTTGGATATTTTTGTTTTTTATGATCTCCAAGAAAATGTAAAGGACTCCCTTAAATCTAAAATCACATAACATGAGTATGCACAGAAAATGGAAGCGTTAGCTAGTCTAAAATTAAGATTTGGGGGAAAGGCAACACGAAGTATTCAAAAAGACTGGGTTTCAAGCCCCAGCTGCCATTTAATACTTGTGTTACCTTCGGACAACTTATCTCAGTTTCCAAATCTATAAAAGGAATAAAATACCCTTGCATCCCATCTAGGATTGTCAGTATTAATCCAATCATGTCAGGGTGACGATGTTGGCTCCTCATAGGGCATGCCAGCAGACAACACCAACTTATAGGAGTTCCTTCTCAAACTAGAAAGGCTTTGCAAACAAACCCAGCAACAGACGCTTTCTGTCAATTAAGAACAAGTCTAGCTCAGCTCAGAGAAGCTAATCACCAGATAGCAGGCCACCCCAACTAGTGAAATTTTTTAGGCCCAGAAATTTGTGAAGTACCCGACATGGCAAAGTATTATGATGTCACAACAGGGAATAACAGGAGTCATGGAAAATACTTGATCCATCTGATAGAAATTCAGATAGAAAGGTACCTCTACATCAATGATTCAGGAAGAACTCAAGACAGTTCTGATTGGCATGGTGAAGGGAGGCAGGAACGGTGGCTCAGAAAAGGCCAGAGGAGAGAGAAGAGCCAAGTTAGCAAGAACTAGGGCTTTTAACCCACTAATCCATATTTCCTAAGAAATCATGAAACTCATTAAATATAATTTCAATATATTCTAAAAACTGTCATTTTGATCTAAGAGGGGAGGCCCTCCAGGGTTTACTTCAATGATTTCAAAATGAAGTTTGATTTACATTTTTGTCCCTGTCTTTCTGAGCCCAATTTCATCGGCAAGGACTTTCCAATTACTCAAATAATTTGTAATACACACAATTTCACTCCCCACCCCCTTTTTACCCACACAGGACAAAATTTGTTTTCTTTTCATAGCTGGACTTTTGTTCTTTAGTCATTCCATCAGTAAAAAAGGCATGTGGAATAACTAGCTTTGAATCTGTATCTGACATCTGTCAAAGTATACTGCTAAATCTGAAACACCAATTTCTGTACTTGTCCTACTTGGTAAAGAATTGTTCTCAGCTTCTACTATGCAAATTTGAAGAAAAGACACTCCAACTCAATTTCTTCAAAAAAAAATTTCTTCTTCATGTCTTCTCTAAGTTATTAGTTTAATATGAGCAATAAACAAAGAATGACTATTACTGAGGTATCAGCACATATTATTAGTCAAAAGACTGGCTGAAAAATGAATTTCTTCTATCACAGTAACTAAAAAATAGTTTAACAAAGGCAACTAGGGGTTACCATCTGTATCCATGTAGGGAGTGTCCATTTCAATAACAGATCCCTGAACGATTATTGAGTAGTAGTATTCATTTATGAAGCAACAAGATGCAGCAAATAAAGACAAGGATTCAAAGCCCCTAAGACGTGGGTTCAGCCCCTGCCTCTGATTCACACGGGCTCTGTGACCCTGGCCAAGTTACTCACTCTCCTGAGGCACTAGGCAAATCTTGAAGACTACAAGTTGCAGAGAAGTTGCACTGTTGTAAGCTCCTTCACCAAGAAGTTCACTACAGCAATAAAACGATGTGTCCAGCCCTTGCAACTTTCCTCATCCCTATTCATTTCTGTCACTCTCTCCTTCTTTCTAGGTATGTCAGCCTTGCTTTTCCTCCTGCTCTAATATATCTATATTATAAATCTAATACAAAGTGTCCTGATGAATGAAAACTAGTTCTGCATGTCCAGAGAACACAAAGAAAGCGGGGCTGCAGGACACAGTCACCAGGAGGGAAAGTTAAGAAAGTGCTAGGCACACCAGATAATAGAAGAGCAGAGCTGTAACTGAAGAGTTTATGTAATCAGTGTATGTGTTAGCAGTGTGGTTTTTGCCTTTAAATAAAAAGCCGGCTTTTTTTCTTCCCCAAAGCAAGTTTCATGAATTCTATTTCCATGAATTTTCCACAAAATGAGGAAAACAATAGTCCAATGGTGCTAATTCCAAAGAGAAGTTATTTGTGACCTCTCTTAATCAAAATTTCCACACAGGATGTTGCTAAAAATAGACAAAAGAAAATAAAAATATCTCTTCAAGTTTGGGGGTTCTATCAATAGCTCAATTACACAACAATAACTTGGTTTTTACACGGGCAAGACAAACACACTCAAGAGTAAATAAAGTACTGTTTAAGTAAACAATCCCAGACTTGGCATTTAAACACTCTGAGATACAGAAGTGTACAAAGTAATAAAACCCAAAAACTGTTCAGCTCTACCAACTACCAAGGAGGAAAAAAAAAAGGCTCCATGCATTGGAAGCAGGTGCTTTAGTTTCTATTCTAGAAAGAACACCAAGTACAAACGTGCAGCAAGTAAAAAAAAAAAAAAAACAAAAAGACATGGCAGAATTATTTACTCATCACACCCATCATTTGTTAAACAGAATATAGGAAGTACTACTACTACTAGGGAAGTACTACAAATTCTTCACACAGTTGCAACAGTGTCCTGAATATTAACTGAATCTCTCATTTCAGACATATAAATGTTTCAGAAATCTAATGTTAAATCAGAAAAACCAGTACTTTTGAATTCAATTTTTTAAAACTTGGTATTTTTCACCTGAAAATACTGTCACAAAATTAAACAGAGTGATGTTCTCTCTCCTGTTGACAGTTTTCTTAGCAAAATCTATGGCTCCTACTCTGATTAGTCTCCTAATCTCCTAAAGTGAGGTTGCCTGTGTGCATTTTATAACTCATCATGTAGATTTACAATCCAATATAAATGTCACCACTAGTGATAATATTGAGGAAATGATTGTAAAAGGAGACTGGGCTTCCAGAGTTTTCTTTGCAAATGAATCTGAAAATCATTCAGACGACTCCATTTTAGAGCCCATACAAACAAAGGGAAGTTGAGGAAGCTACTCCTTTTGCCTTCATTTACTACATAACAAATGGAGATACGTTACAACATATTCCTACTATTCTCCAGTTCACTCAGATATTGGTGAACAATTAACAGAGAGGTACAGAAAAAATTTAGATGACAAGACTACTTTCAGAGTGGACTTTCAAATTACTGGATTGTGAATCAAGAGTTCAAATCTCTGTTATTTAATCCGTGAGGGAAGCACTTAATTTCCCCTGGGCCTTAGTTACTTCATTTATAAAGAAAGGGAGTGTTCTAAAAGATCACTAAGATCTCTCCATTCTAAGGTCTAACTCCTATGATCTTATGAAATGTGAAGCAAAAAAAACTTCCACCACTTTTATTAGCATGTTATCTGAAAGAGCCAAAGCACTAAAAATATCTAGGGCTACAATAGCAGAGTTTTCAATAAGAAATATTCAGGTCTCAGAATGGCTTCACAGATGGTAAAAATGAAAAATACATAACGCTATTAATCTGCTGAATAATTTCATTTCCACAGGCCTTTTATTTCTTCAGAGGCAGTTAGGTAGTCTAGTGGACAGAGCATTGGGCCTAGAGTCAAAAGATCTGAATTTAAATCAGGCCTCTCACACCAGCTGTGTGATCCTGGACAAGTTACTTAACCTCTATCTGCCTTCGTTTCCTCATCTATAAAATGGGGGTGATAATCATGCCTACATTCCAGGATTGTTGTGAGGACAAAATTAAATATTTCTATAATATAGTAGGCACTTAATAAATGCTCATTCCCCTCCCTTATGCTTTCACAATTGTTTGTTTTAGGGAAGAAAGACCTTCATTCTATATACATTTATAGCTAAGCTTCTAGTTGCTGTTACTATTACAACAATGATTTCATCAGTGTGGAACTTCCCTAAATAGCAGCAACTCTTCTGTAACTAATAGTCTTGGCTATTGCCTAGCGCATTGAAAAGTTACAGGATCTACATGTGGTCAGTCACATCGATCGCATGTGTCAGAGGCAGGCCCTAACTTTGGTTCTTCTGGATTCCAAGAGTACAATCAAAATTAGATCACCAGAAGTAATTAAAATTATTTAAACATCTAAAACTAGATTTCCTCATTATTGTTCTTTGAAAATTTCCTGGAGGGGCAGCTAGGTGGCACAGCAGATAAAGCACCAGTCCTAAGTTCAAATCTGGACTCAGACCAGACACTTGACACTTACTAGGTATGTGACCCTGGCAAGTCACTTAACCCCCAATTGCCTCTCGAAAGGAGAGGAAAAAGGAAAGGAAAAAGGAGGAGAGGAGAGAAAAGAAAAGAAAAGTTCCCAGGAATACACAACACCAATAGTACATATAATAACAATTAACAAGTCAGACATGGTCAAGCCTTATTTTCTTTTTTTTTTTTTTTTTTAAGGTAAATTTTAAAGTCCAGTCTCAAAAGACTTACCTTCTTCAGAATCCCTCATGTTTGCAGAAGTTGAGTCAGTTTCACCTTTCTTTAGTTTTGCTTTGTCTCCGGTCTTGTTTGCCTTATTTTTACCCTCCTGGGATTTTTTCTTCCCTGAAAAATAAAGATATTCATGTTCCACTGCCATTCTTGACATTAATCAGTAGCATAAAACACGGGGAAAGGAGGTGACAATCATTAATCCAATCCTAGGAAAGTGCTTATCTCCAGACAGTAACTACTTCAGTTTCTTCAAGAAAATAACAGACAAATTACCAACATAAAAAGGTGAGTGGAAGAAGTTAAAGGCAACATTTTATAAAATGCAAACTAATGGAAACTTGTTGTACCTGCTTTAATAAGGGACACGGAGGGAATTAAATCTTTGTTACTTATGCCCACCTTGAAAAATACATAAAAGTAATGGGTGTTGATTTCAAGCCACTGAAAACAAGATAACAGCACCACCTAATACAGCACTATATAATACCAATAATTCATAAATAGCAGTCAAGCAGTGAATACTGGCATATTTAGGGGGTTTTTTAATTATTTTTATTTATTTTGTTAAATATTTCCAAATTACAAGTAAAATTTTTTTTAACAATTTATTTTAAATTTTGAATTCCAAATTCTCTCCCTCCCACCTTCCCCTTCCTTTTCCTTGAGAAAGCAAGCACTTTGATTTCAATTACACATTTGACATCACGCAAAGGATATTTCCATATAAGCCATGTTGCAAAAGAAAAACAAAACTATAAAAATACATTTTTTAAAAAGTATGCTTAATGTGCAATAACAGTTCATCAATTCTCTCTGGAGATGGACAGTATTTTTCATCATGGGTCCTTTGGAATTATGTTGGCTCATTGTCTTGACCTGAGTAGCTAAGTCATTCACAGCCAATTATCATTATAATACTGCTTTTATTGTGTAAAATGTGCTGGTTCTGCTCCTTTCACTTTGCATGAGATCATATAAGTTTTCCCAGGTTTTTCTGAAACTATCCTGCTTGTCATTTTTTACAGCACAATAATATTGCATCACAACCACATACCACAATTTGTTCAGCCATTCCAACTGATGAGTATGCCCTCAATTTTCAATTCTTTGACACCACAAAAAGAGCTGCTATAAATATTTTTGTACAAATAGGTCCTTTTCCCTCTTCTTAGTTCTTTGGGACAGACCTAGTAGTGGTATTGCAGGGTCAAAGGGTACGCACAGTTCCATAGCCCTTCTAAATTGCTCTCCAGAATAGATGGGTCAGTTCACAACTCCACCAGCAGTGCCTTAGAATCTCAATTTTTCCATACCCCACAGCCATTTGGCATTTTCCTTTTCAGTCACAGCAGCCAATAGATAGGTATGAAGTGGCATCTTAGAGTTGTTTCAACGTGCACTTCTCAAATCTATAGTAATTTAGAACACTTTTTCGTATGACTATTGATAATTTTGATATCTTCTGAAAACTGCCTATTCCTATCCTTTGACCATTTATCAACTGGGAAATGGCTCTTATTTTTATAAATTTGGCTCAGTTGCCTATATATTTATCAAAGAAACATGCTGTAAATTTTTATCCATAGATATGACAGATATATTTTTCCATGTTCCCCTAATTTACTTATGATTATCAGCTTTTATGTCTAAATCATCTATCATTTATCCATTTTGATCTTATCTTGACATACAGTGTGAGATGTTGGTCTATGTCTAATTTCTGCCAAACTACTTTCTAGTTTTCCCAGCAATTTTTGTCAAATGGTGAGTTCTTGCTCCAAAGCTTGGATCTTTGGGTTTATCAAACACTAGATTACTATGGTCATTTACTACTATGTACTGTATACCTAAATCTATTCAACTGTCCCACCACTCTATTTACTGAAATCTGAAACTGCTAGGCTGCATCCCTTCACACATTATTTTTCATTAATTGCCTTGATGTTCTTGACCTTTTATTCTTCCAGGTGAATTCTATGACTATTTTTGTAGCTCTATAAAAAAATTGCTTGGTATGGTGCTGAGTAAGTAAATTAGCTTAGGTAGAATTGTCATTTTTATTATACTAGCTCAGCCTACCAGGAGCAAGTAATATTTCTCCAATTGCTTAGATCTGTTTATTTCTGTGAATTTTTTTTTGTAACTGTTTTTGTTTTGTAACTGTTTTAATATAATCCCTAGGTCTGTCCTGGCAGGAAGACTCTCAAGTATTTCATATTGTCTGCTGTTATTATTAATGGAATTTCTTTATAACTTGCTGCTGTATTTTGTTGGTAGCACATAGAAATGCTGATGATTTATGTTGGTTTATTTTTTATCCCACAACTTTGCTAACGTTGTTAATTGTTTCAACGAGTTATTTAGCTGATTCTCTAGGGTTCTCAAAGTATACCATCATATCATCTGCAACGAATGATAGCTTTATTTCTTCACTGCCCGTCTTCACTTTTTTCTTGTTTTATTACTATAGCTAGCATTTCTAGTATAACATTAAATAATAGTGGTGATAATGAGCATCCTTGCTTCACTCCTGACCTTACTGAGAAGGCTTTCAAGTTCATCCCGATTATAGATAATGCTTTGTTATGATTTTATGATTTTTGTTGTTTTTGTTACAGATATTATCAATTATACCAATAGTTTTCCTATCTGAATTAGCCCTGTTTTCTCATATAAATCTCACTGGGTCATAGTGTATGATCTTTGCAATATATTGCTGCAATCTCTTTGCTGGTATTTTATTTAAAATGTGTGCATCTTTTCTCAGCACTACAATGATCCAAGACAATTCCAAAAGACTCATGATGGAAAATGCTGTCCACATCCAGAGAAAGAACTATAGAGTCTGAATGCAGACTGAAGCACACTATTTTCACTTTTTTTTTTAATTTTGTTTTTTCTTTGTGGTTTCTCCCTTTTGTTCCGTTTCTTCTTTCACAACATGACTAACGTGGAAATATGTTTAACATGATTGTACATGTATAACCTGTATCAGATTGTTTGCCATCTTGGGGAGGGGGAATGGTAGGGAGGGAGAAAAAAATTGGAACTCAAAATCTTATAAAAAATGATTACTGAAAATTATCTTTATATGTAATTGGAAAAAATAAAAATCTACTAAAAAAATTAAAAATTTTTGCATTGATAATCATTAAGGAAATTGGTCTGTAGTTTTCTTTGTTTTTGCTCTCCCTGGTTTCGGTTTTAAAATCATATATGTGTCCTAAAAGGTATTTGGTAGGACCCCTTCCTTATCTTTTTTTTTTCTTCAAATAGTTTATATGGTATTGGGATTAAGTGTTATCTAAATGTTTGGTAGAATTCACTTGTAAATCCATCTGGTCCTGGGGATTTTTTCTTAGGGAGCTCATTGATAGTTTGTTCAATTTCTTTTACTAAGATTGAGTTATTAAGTATTCTATTTCCTGTTCTGCTAAAGCTGGGCACTTTATATTTCTGTAAATATTCATCCATTTCACTTAAATTGTCAGTTTTACTGGCATATCATTGGCAGTACATTCACCCTTTTCATTTCTGATAATGGTAATTTGTTTTTTTTTTCTTTATTTTTTCTTAACATGCTTTTACTTCATAGGATATCAATTAAGTTACTTAGAAAACAGTAAACTCGGGTACCTTTTGGTTAAAGTACAGTTACTTGTAATTGTCAAAGTGAAACTACAGAAATATGGATTCAGTTAAGCTAAAAAGAGCACAATGGGCTCCAAGATCAAATGCAGAGTAATTATGAATAATTCACTATCAAATTATAAGGTATTCAAAGGGTCCTATGGGCAGGAGTTCACTTTGAGTTCATTGCGATTCAGTATTTCATTAACAAAAGTGAAGACCATATTCTGAGAATACTAATTGCATTTTTTAGTGTTAACATATCATTCTGGGATAGAAAGTTTCAAACACTTTAGAAAAGAGAATTAAATTACAATGTTTCTGGTAAATCAAAAGAATAAACTAAAAGCATTAAGATAAATATTCAATAAGCAAATATAATGTGCTCACACTGAAAAGAAAATATGAAATACTCCTAAACTGTCTAATGAGCAGGACTTGACATGTTGTAGCTTTTACCCTTCTTCTATTTCATCCTCTATTTATTTTTCTTTAGGGTTCTGTTTCCATCACAAGTACTACATTTAATGAAATCTGCTTAATGTTCCCTTCCTAAACCTTCACCTGATCTTTTCTCTTCCCAGCACTGCTTCAGCAGCAGTTTAAGGTTTACAAAGTGTTTTCTTCTTCATCTGGGTAAACAAAGCAGTTACAAAGTTAATGAAAAGAGCTAGATTAGAACCTAGATCTCCTGACTACAAGTTCAGAGTTCTCTCCATGACATTACACTTTCTGTAACAAATGACAGAACACTTAGAAGTCCATAGGCAACATGTTAGGAACTAGTACTAGGAACCATAGGCTAGCCAGCTACAGAGCAATATAAATAGCCAAGATATGGACTAATTATTCTATCACATAAAAAACTCACACTGGTTTACTAGTAGAATAATAAGGCCAGAAAAATACGTGCTTCTGGGCACCTAATTTTGCAGAGATACAAAGAACATGGCAAGTTAAAAAATATTTAACACTATTTAGAATTAAATACTAATCTTTAAAAGATCCACAAAAGATGAATATTTTGCTTCAAAGAAAAAAAGGGAGATAATGTAATAATAATTGTAATAATAAAGGGAGGATAATATTGTATAAATATACGAAGATTCTTTCAGATAACTGATAAATTCTTTGGATTCTCTCAAAAATGAAATATTTTTTGAAGTACTATGTGAAATGTTATATACACATTCAAAATTAAACAAGTTCAGTTTCATACACAATCCTTTCTTCTGTTCTTTATACCATATAATAAAATGATTACATTTATTAATGTTAAGCTCATGATAAAAAATAAAAAATTTTTGAATAATTAAAATAAAGTTTAATAATTTTTACAATCTACTCCAGTCCTCCCTTTGAAGATGTGCTGATAGATTTAACAATTTTTTCTCTTCAGAAGAACAAACTCAAGATATTTCTAATTTATTAACAACCCATTCTTTGATCTCCCCTCTAGCACCTTTTCTCTTTCCAAATGA